GTTCCACAAGGTTCTGTACTTAGACCAATACTATTTACTTTATATATGCTCCCTTTAGGCAACATTATTAGGAATCACTCCATTAACTTTAATTGCTATGCAGATGATATAGCAGTTATACCTAGCCCGATGAAATTAATCAATTATCTAAATTACAAACATGTCTTGAGGACATAAAATCCTGGATGAGCTGCAATTTTCTGATGTTAAACTCAGAAAAAAAAGAAATTCTTGTACTTGGCCCCAAAAACCTTAGAGAGTCACTGTCTAAAGATATAGTTACTCTAGATGGTATTACCTTGGCCTCTAGCACCACTGTCAGGAATCTTGAAGTTATCTTTGATCAGGACATGTCATTTAATTCCCACATAAAGCAGACCTCCTGCCTATTTACGTAATATTACAAAATTAGACACAGACGGATGCCGAAAAACTGAGCCGTGCATTTGTTACTTTTAGACTGGATTACTGCAACTCCTTATTATCAGGCTGCCCCAATAAGTCCATTAAGATGCTCCAATTAATTCAGAACGCTGCACCACGAGTACTGACAGGAACTAGGAAAAGAGATCACATCTCTCCACATTTAAGAGTAGACTTAAGAAGCTTATAGTTAGGGCTGGCTCAGGTGAGTCCTGAACCATCCCTTAAATATGCTGCTATAGGCCTAGACTATCGGGGGATTTCCCATGGTGCACTGAGCTCCTCTCTTCCTCTCTCTTTCTGCACTCATTCATGTCCCATTAATGCATGTTACTAACTTCACTTCTTCCCCGGAGTTCTTGTGCTTTCTCGTCTGAGGTTCTCAATTTTTTTTTTTTTTTTTTTTTTTTTTCTCTTTTTTTTTTTTTTTTTTTTTTTTTTTTTTTTTTTTTTTTTTTTTTTTTTTTTTTTTTTTTTTTTTTTTTTTTTTTTTTTTTTGTTGTTTTTTGTTTTCCCCCTTTGTTGTTGCTGTTGTTGTTGTCGTCGTCGTCGTCCATTCTCATGTTCATCATCATCATTCAATTCAATTCAATTCAATTTATTTGTATAGCGAATTCATAAAGAAGTTATCTCAGGACACTTTCAAATAGAGCAGGTCTAGACCGAACTTTAACATTAATACAGGACCCAACAGTACCACCATGAAAAAACCCTTGGGGAAAAAGGGAAAGAAAAACTGCCTGTTAAAAAACCTACAGATCCTCCAGGCTCTGGGGGGTTTTTTTTTTTTAATTAGGGAGGGGGGAGAAAGAGAGGGGGGGGGGGGGGGGGAGGGAAAGAAAGACAGAAAGACAGACAGGTGCACAGCAACAACAGTATTGGCAATGGCAGTCAAGCATGGACCCTGGTGGAGCCTCCTACCAGGCCATGCTAAAAAAAAAAAAAAAAAATCCAGGGAAAAAAGTGAATTAATAAAATTAAATAAAAAGAAAAAAAAAAAGAAAAAAAGAAAAAAAAAAAGAACCAGGGAACCCTGCTTGACTAGCCATTGCTAATATCACTGATATTGTTATTACTTATTATTATTACTTATTATTAGTATTATCATTGCTACGGTTACTGTTGTTGCTGACCATGAAGAGCTTTATAGGTGAGGAGTATTTTAAATTCAATTCTACATTTTATAGGGAGCCAATGCGAGTAGCTAGTACAGGGTGTGATCTCTTTTCAGTTCCTGTCAGTACTCGTGCTGCAGCTTCCCCATTGATTGCAGTGCTGTAATGCATATTAGTTTTTCTGCGTCTGTCTGTGATAGTATGTGTCTAATTTTTCTAATATTACGTAATGAAAGAAGGCAGTCCTATATGTCTTTTAAAAAAACCATCAAAATGTTCATGCATCATCAGTCACTACTATTAGTCTAGTTGTTGCTAAACTTTTGTTTTGCTGTGCATCATCTTAGTATTTATGGAGGATTCATCGTTAACATGTACAAACTGAGTACGATCTGATAAGTATGACTTAAACCAGGTTAGGGCAGTTCCTTTAATGCCAATTTGATGCTCAAGTCTCTGTAAAAGAATATCATGGTCAATGGTGTCAAATGCAGCACTAAGATCTAATAATACAAGTACAGAGACAAGTCCATTGTCAGAAGCAGTCACTACTATTAGTCTAGTTGTTGCTACTGTTGTTGCTGTGCATCTGTCTCTCTCTCTCTCTCTCTCTCTCTCTCTCTCTCTCTCTCTCTCTCTCACTCTCTCTCTCTCTCTCTCTCTCTCTCTCACTCTCACTCTCACTCTCACTCTCACCCCAACTGGTCAACGACCACCCACCTAGAGCCGAAGGGTCTGTCCTAGGTTTCTGCCGCTTAACAGGCAGTTTTTCCTTGCCCTTGTCGCCAAGTGCTTGCTCATGGTGGTACTGTTGGGTCTCTGTAAATGTTATAAGGAGTTCGGTCTAGACCTGCTCTATTTGAAAAGTGTCCTGACATAACTTCTGTTATGAATTGACGCTATACAAATAAAATTGAATTGAATTTGAATTGAATTGAATTAAATTATTGATATGTGGTACCAAATTATTAATTTTTTGACACCTTAGTACTGATGTACATTGGTTAGTACCATAAAGGTACCAAATGTTAGCACCCAGCATAGGATTGTGTGCAATGGGGTCTAAGCTCATAGTTTAGATGGACAACCACCTATGGTAACTAAAATGTTTCCACTCTTCTTTTGTCACTCATTCAAATCACAGGGCCAGAATGTAGTGTAGGTGTCTTTTATTTAATTTGTATTCAGCAGGATAAATACATCAAACCACACCATCAGACACTGACACAATATGGAGACAGAAAGGCGTGACGCATCATTAGCAGCTGATTTCTTAACTGCGTTTAAGTGTTTTCAGGAAAAAATGTCTTTCAGTTATTTGTAGACCTTCCAGCATTCACTGATTAGCAGCTGTTTTGTTTTGCCGAATCTCATTGGCTTCATTATGTGATATTACACATGAAAAGAAAGGAGCTGCCAAAGCTGCAGGGGTTGACTCGGTTAAAGAAACACGTTTCTCTCAGACTGTTTCACTTTTCCCATAGCAAATTCCTGTTTAAGTTTATGTACGTGTTTGTAGCTTTCATTTTTCAAAATCGGACACAGTTTATATATTATTATTTGTACAACTAGTAGAAGCTATTAACAGGTTTTGACAAGGAGTAAATGTATATTTTTTCTCAAAGGCAGACTATTTGTCGTGTTTTAAGATATTGTGAATGTGGTTGGTCCTTTCAGAAACACTTCAGCAGTGTACTCTGTGTCCTGAAAGGGCATACATTGCAATCCAGTATTTCAGGAAAGTAAATTTAGCTTCTGTAATCCTTTGTTGCAGTGTCCACTCTGAGTCTGTATTTCCTCTTCTGGCAATGGCATCATGGTGATTTTTTTATTTGGTTATGAATTCATGTTTGTTTTGTTTTATCTCTTACCCAGGGATCCTGACGTCAATACACGCACATACATACATTTCCAGTTGTGCTTAAACAAGAAGCTCAGCTGCCTTCATCAAGGCCTAATCCACCAAAGTGGAGACAGATGTGAGGATTAAATAGAGCGTAACATGTTTAATGCTCTGAAGCAACAAACTAACAGAATACACTTAACTGTGTTATTTTAGTCTTACATGAGCACACCTTCATTATAAGTAGTAGAGTACAACTGATAAACTGCACAAGGAACCAAAACAGTAAACACAATAACTACAGGAAGGTTTTGTCAAACAAGTGGTTTAGTTGAATTTTGAGCAGAATATTTCCTGTGAATATTGATCAGAGATGAGGTTTTCTGATAATATGAGGGCCAATCACAGCATGATAATAACAGCCCAGCAAGTGGAAAGCTTTACCTCAGGAAATGTCTGCATGGTTCAGAGTCACGTCATGAACACACATCACCTCAAATCTGCACCCAGAGACAGATGGAGTATAATATACCATCAAGTAGTTACTATAATAATAACTACTATAATAAATATTGTAAAAAATAAAGCCAGTCTTATATGTGGTCCTAAATCAGATACAGGTCTGATTCAAACTGGAATCTGATATGGACCACATTTAACAAGTAATCTTCCAAAACAGCCACAAATACAAACACAAATACACTTATGGTTAAAGTTAGCCACATATATTATTAGCCAGCTCTAATTATTTAGTAATTGCCTGGCAGCTGAACAGCTCTGTGTGCAAACATTATGTGAGATAAATGTAACGAGCTTCCGAGAACCCTGGATATATCATCTGATATCATTATTGCAGTACAGTAAAAAAAAAATGTGTCTATGTTAAAAAAAGATTATTATTGGCCCATATATTAATGATTAACTCCTCACAACGCCTCAAAATCCAATATTTGGCAGGCTATACTCTGCCATATTACAAATTTGATTACATTTTCTTTTGCCATGCTACGTGCAAATCAGGGTTTGCTGCCGCAGCTTCTTCCACCACCCAGACATCCTCCTTATGTGCTAAGCGTTTGCTGTTGTTGATTTGCCTAAGATTTGCTCCAGCAGAATCCTTGTTGCTGCTTTGCTTAGTTTCTTTAAACTCCCTCAGAGAGCAGAGTCCTTGCTGCTAAATCCAACTGTTTAAACATTAGTAATAAATGTCCATTCACACGCACTGTCCAGATACTGTCCCACCACATACATCAGGGACTCAACGCTTGTCAGTAGAAGGGTGCTGGTTCAGTCCTTAGACTTAGTCTTGATGGGAAAGTGAATGGGCCATGCTTGTCTGCTTCCCATTACCACCCTTCAATTGTGACTGGATATCTGCTCCCAGCCTCACTGTGTGAAATCTGCAGCTCTGTTCTCCCTCACACTTGTCTTAGTTTGTTTTGGTGAAGGTAAATTCAGACAGGCTGGATTAGCTGGAAACCTGATGCTCTAAATCCTCTTAAGAATTAATCAGTACATCTACACACATCGGGGCCGTACGGGTCTTGGACAGGTATTGCATCGATGAATACCCTTCTTGGTTCTCACTTGCTGTAACATGTTGTCTTTTGCATCAACAGGTTCACCAAAGTGGCACCAATGTTCCTTGATCCAAATTACAAACGATTCTCCAAGATCAGTGACTATTTGCCTCCGTTTGGAGTAAAATCACAAGGTATGATTATTGTCCAGATAAACTAAATGGAATGCATTTCTCACTAGCTACAATTTTTCTAACCTCTAGCTGCAAAAATACCCCAGCAATGTCAAAGCCTCAGTATGCTTTAGACCTTTTTTTGAATTTGGTCACCTCTGAAGGCAGGGTCACTCAAATAAGTCTTTTGTGTGTCTTTGTAGTCTTGACACAATGAATCATACAAATAAACTGAGCACTCTTTGGGGGGTCAAACCCTACGTGCACGACTCCTAACACCTGCTTGAAGTCAGTGTAATTGTCAGAATTCAGAGAGTTACACAAATTGTGAGGTTTCAGACGCTGTTAGACGATCTGACTCTCTGCTGTTTCTTTTATTAGGAACAATTAAATCTCAGAGATGGTGTAATGGATTCATGATGTGATTGTAGCAATTTCACAAGCCTAGTGCTGACTTGTCACTGAGCCTTATAGTCAAACCTGACAACAACAAGGTTGTCATGACATAACCTCTCCCTCAGTTGGCTTCCATCAGGCAGAAAATGTGTTGTTTAAAAATGCTGTTCCATCAGTTGGCTGTTACTGTACAGTGTCTCACACATAACACTCCCTCGGAGGAGCTAGTGGAGTGTCAGTAGGCCCCTATCTTGCTTGGCCACCCGTCTTTAGTGGTTGTATAACATTGTAACAGGAAGAAGTGTCAGCCCACCCAGCCGTTGGCTCCCGGCCTGCCTCATTTATCATAGCTAGTCTAGTTCGGCTGGAGATGAGGGATCCATAGCTGGGTGGAATATGGAGAAAAGAATTGTTTCACTTTCATCTTCATCTCACTTGTTGTTCTCTCTTTCTGCCTCTTTCTCTCTCTTACAGAGAATATCATAGATATCCTTCTGTCAGCTACTAAGAGCTATGGCCTTGGGGAAGAACTCGACAAGTAAGTTAGTGCAGGTTGTTCTGTCATGATCTGATCCATACAATGCCATCATCAAAACATCCCCTACTTCCATTTTCTTTAATAATCTGTAAAGCTACTATTCAGAGAATTTATGAAGTGTTGATGTTGTCTGTTTATAACTTTTAAGAATGCACACACAAGCCGTGTTTCCATCCAAATGCATCACAGATTTTAACCGAATTTTCTGCAGAAGAAGCAAAATGCAAATGAATGCTTGTTTGCATCTATTACCATTGTGCGCTTATTAGGGAGTTGATTCATAAGATAGGCAGTAGGTGGCGGCAATGCTCCAATCAGAAAACAAGGACAAGAGAGCGCAACAAGATGACGTAATTAAAAGAGTGTCAATCAAAGCTTTAAGTATAAAAAAACAAATGAGAAATAAGGATGGAAATATGACATATCTGTTCATGGATGTCTTATAGAAACATGAGGAGACTGTCGGAGCGTAAACAGTTTATCAGTCATGAATAGCGAAGCTGCGTCAAGTTGCGGCAGCCACTAGAGCTGATCATGCCCATTCTAGACAATGCTGGTGATTCCACCAGAAGTGTCTCTCTGCTCTGTATATGCAGACCCTCTATTTTTTTAAGAAGCTGCACCGCTAGATGCCACTAAATCCTAAATACTGGTTCTTTAGGAAAATAATGAAAATCTCAATAAATGGAAAACATACAGCAATACAGACAAAACTCTTTATACAGTACAATATTTCATCTGAACTCATCAATTGGTATAAAGGTTGAATCTAGATTTTCCAGCACAAAATACAAAAATCTATACTTTTTTTTTTTTTTACAGTATACTTAGATCTCCTTCATATCTTACATTTATGGATAACCCAAACTAACACACACAAATAGCTTTAAATCCAGTTCTTCATTTGACCCTATGGAGCCTAAAGTGCCTAATTTGGAAATCTCTCTTAAACAGTAGCTTCTCTTAATCTCCCCTGAAGCCATGTGTTGACCCTGGTCAGGAAAATGGAAATTGTGAATGCTTTTTGTTGTCTCTATCTCTTTCTAAGGGTTTGCACCTAAAATCTCCCACGGCTTTCTTACATGATGATTACAAGTCATTATCTCTTTTTGTGGCTAACGGTTCAGTATCCACATATTCTGTGAAGACAGAAAAGCCACATGTTATGGTATATATTCTAAATAAAATGTCTGTCCATGTTCTCTGAAACCCCAACATTAATGACTGGATCAGATTTTGAAGTAACTGTGTTGTTTGATTCAACTTTGGGTTGAAGTTTTTGTCTTTATATGGAGCTCATCAGTTCCACAGAAACTGTGTACTGACCCTGTTTCATCAGCCAGCTAAGACAATTAGGAATGTGTTTATTTTTCCACCCAGAATTAAGCAGTGCAGACTAAACACAAGACACATGTTGTACTGAGTCTACAATACAACATTCTAATCATAATATTAACCAAAGTGAGACACATTGACTTGTGTTAACTGTCCCACTTTGTTCATGCCTCAGAAAGTACTTTACTTGAGAATAGAAGAACAGTGACATTAATAGTCCTCAGAACTCAAAGTTTTTATTTTAGAGCTGTGTTAAAGCTGCTGTGGGTAACTTTTTTAAAAATAACTTTTTGTCATATTTGCTGAAACTTTCACTATATCCTGACAGTAGTACATATGTTCCGACATATTCTTCCAAATACCATTAGGAGCACTAGGAGGAGCCAGAGGAGGCTGATTTTTTCACACATTATCTGTCTCCTGTACTACTGTCAGGATATAGTGAAAGTTTCAGCAAATATGACAAAAAGTTATTTTTATAAAAGTTAATATCTATTGCAGCTTTAACTGACACTGATCAACAGAATAACTACTTTGATATGACACTCCAAAAGGATCAGTGACACAGCCTCTTGCATAACACATTAAATTGAGATCAACTGTGTAATCAAGTGATTGTGTGTTAAATAGACCAGTATATGGAAGTCCAACAGGTGTTAAGTTCATTTCCTGGCAAAAACTACACCCTGAAGACATTCCACACAGATTTTTACATGTTTCCAGTGGACAGTGTAATAATCATTTACTGCTTTTCTCATTCCCTTTGGCTCAATTGTGCCCAGGTGTATTAATAATTGCAGCATTCCACTTAGGAGAGGTCTTGCTGTTGTCCATGCTGGCTCACTACCACTGGGACACTTTATGGAACGGAGCCATTGTTACTGTTAAGTCCACCTGTGTTTTCCTCTTTTGTTTAGCTGAATGCCAATTTGTATCACTAAGCTTTGTAGATTCAGATTTCAACAGTAGGTAAAAGTCAATACTGTATTATACTGATGTTCAGGTTTCTTGAACCTGTCCACCAGTTTTGAGTAGAACTATAATAATCAGATGTATCATCAACAGAGGGTGCTGAACAATGCACAACGACATGTAGAATATGACACGCCCACTTTGGTTCCCAAGGGAAAACCTGCTGTTTTTTGGTTGTTGCTGGTTCCCTGTTGGTGGCCTAAGAAAAAGAATAGGCATATTTGTATGCATGCAGTAAATTTGTTTGTGTAGCAATGTGTTAACAAGATCTTCTCAACAAAAACAATGAAAAAAACTGCGATAGTTAAGTAAAGAAACTGCAGTTTGTATCTCCTCAGTACACTAGTTGTGATTCCTCATTCATTACTGTAACCTAGCAGATAGTTTGCCAATTTACATCACAAACATTCCATAGACATTTACGTCTGATTATGATAACTGAATGGATTATTTTTCATGTGATGGCAACTCAACCTTTGATCAGCAAGCCATGTACAAGTGATTTTTGTGCAAATTGTAGACAGTTGTACGTGTGCCAAAATACGTGCAATTTGCTTGAATGAGTGAGATAGTCAAATCTGTTGTGAACAACAAATGTGATTTGAATGGATTGTTTTAAAGAAAACTATTCTAACTATTATCATAAAAGAATTGAACCAAAACAAATCATATAAACTTTGAAATGGCCCCACTGTAAATCTGTCTTGAGCAGGTCATGCTCATCAACCGAGTGTGTTTAGTGAGGGAGGGATAGAATTGTAGGCATTAGGGATGTAACTGAATATAAATCGATTACTTGGATATAAACTGATTTGCTCTAAACAATGGCAAGTTGTACTGTCCTGTCCACCAACTCACACAATTTACCTCTGAACAAAAGAATATTAAGTGTATCTAGAGATTCATTTCTCCATTTTGATGTCTAGTGTTTTTATATGAGAACATTTGGGGTAAATGACCAAAATGAAGTACTGCAGTACCATCACAATGGTGCATGTGTTCTGTGTTACAGTATGAGCTGTAAGACGTGCATCATAGTAGGGAATGGAGGAATCCTGGCCAACAAGTCTCTGGGACAGAAGATTGATGAGTTTGATGTGGTGGTCAGGTACGATATTAAGTAGCACACACACTTTACTGCCACTTTTTCTGTTCCTTGAATTAAGGGTCTATAAATTGCATATCAGCATCCCTCTTCTCTAAATATCAGCATCTATCATTAAAAAATGCCATATTGGTCAACCACAAGTACATTAGTACACTGACAATTTAATAAAAGTTATTATTAGGTACTGTCGTCTTCCTGTCAGCTTGAACCAGTCTGACCATTCTTCTCTGACCTCTCTCTTATTAACAAGGTGTTTTCAGCATGGACTGTATAATTAAAAATGGCCGTACTCTCCGTGACTGGCCAAGAAGGTTGTACAGTTGCAGATTATAATAATAGCTTGTAGGCTGTTTTGATCATTTTGGACTGTGCGTTTTGTGATTGACTGATTGTGCAGCTGTGTGCTGCAGGTTAAACGAGGCCCCGGTGAAAGGCTTTGAGAAAGATGTCGGATCCAAAACCACCATGAGGATCACCTACCCAGAGGGGGCCATCCAGAAGCCAGAACACTACGAGACTCACTCCCTGTTTGTCCTCTCTGCATTCAAAGCTCAGGACTTCAAGTGGCTCCGACACATGGTCTTCAACCAGAGGCTGGTAAGGCTGCTGAACTGTTCATTTTGCTGCGGCACCAGTGAATGCAGTTGTGGACAGATGGTAATGGGGTCACTCACTCATTCACTCAGTGGCACTAGGTGGACAGTGAGAACGTTTCCATCATCTTGTTTGATTTCACTCTTATTTCATGACCCTAACTACAGTTGCAGTATTTTGTATACTATATATATATAGAGTGTTGGTAGTTTTAAAAATGTTAAGTGAATCATCAATGTTCCTATATGTATATGATCCAAAAAAGGTGGCTGCGCATGCATTCCCTTGTTTACATAACAAGGCTTTGTGGCATGCAAAGGCCTCTGGCACCACAAACCAAAGGAAACAGCAGCAGGGTACAGGCAGTTTTCTGTGGGGTGAACTAGCAGGATTGTAACTTAATATCATCACAGCAATGTATTAAGGTATTATATTCAGTGTTGAGTTCTCCAGTTGGCAAGACCAGCAGAGGGAGGTCAGGAGAAGACAACTGTGTGAACTTCTGTGTGAAGTCTCTTACATCTGTCATTTGTAAAGATGCACACTGTTCTGACACAGGTTGCTATGGCTGTACTAGATAACTTTATCGTGCCTAATGCTGGGTTCAGACATGTTTGTCCCTGGCCAATCATAACTTGCCGTCTTTCACGGTCTGCGTGATTTCATTGGGTGGGAGGTATGAGGGATCGACTTCCAAAGCCGATTTCCGGCAGCCGAACCAGTATGTATGATACTGGCTGTCTTGTGTTGTCTGGACCAGCTCCTTCACACATGCACTTTTATGAAACTTGAAGCATGAAGGTACGTGTCCACAGGATTCTCTATTAACTGTTTCCTGTCCCAGCTAATGTCTGCTTTGTTGATGTGTTAATTTGTGTGTGCATGTGTTTGTACTCTATTCTTAAACCTCTGCATTGCACAGTGCAGGTACTGTTACAAGTGGTATCTTTAACTCAAGGACATGGCTGCATTCTCTAAGGCTATAACACCATCAAAAGAAGCACAGACTATCTGTAGAGCTGTTAACAGCACTGAACTCTGCTGTAGGTAGCGCTGTAGCACATTATGGACAGAAAGATGAACCAGAGATACAGTGCAGATGTTTTCAAGCAGCCCATAGCAGATTTTAAATGCATCAGCAAGAGAAACAGCAGCAGTGAGTCAATCTGTCCATACAGTTTGTGAACGGTTATTGCCTGCCATGCTGTTATGCTGTGTTGTAGAGAGTGAGGGTTACCTGTGTATAATAATTACATATCTGCATATCAATATTGTCCCTTTGTTTAGGCCTTTAGCTAGTTATTATAAGCCTCAATATCAACCCTGCATACCAAGGCTGTCTCCTCTGCTGTCACGTCTGTCTGTGTCTGTTCCAGCAACTAGCTGTGGGTACAGCCTTTATGATCCTGCATGCTTGAGTGGGAAGGTAACACATTCCTGCAGCCAGAGTCACAACATACCTGCTGTGTACTCCCTCCCCATTCCTCCTCCCTGACAGCAGAGAGCAAATGGGGTCAAATGCTCACAGACCTCCAAATAGATCAAAATAGGAAGATAAAAGCACAGTAAAGCACTGCTGTGATCAGCTGATCGTTTATGTGGAGACTCATCCCAGAACTCTGTTGGTCTTGTTGAACTACACAATCACCACTTGTCAGAAATAAATGGTTGTTGAGTGGTGTCTTTTCCCTGGACAAACTAGCACAAGCTACAGTGATATAAAAGCAAAGTTGAACACCGTTAAAAAGGAGAAACTGCTAGCTGAATGTTGACCTTGTTATAAGAATGAATGAATTAATATTTTATTCTTATTAGTCTGGTCATTTACATTACCCACTACTTGTAGGATTATTCAGACACTAAAAACAAAGCAAACATTCCGGCGTGTTAACCCACCGCCATCTAACCGCACAATACATAAACAAATGTACAACAAATGTACAAACATATAGGCACAGCTTCCCTAAGCACAAGACACAATATACAAATCTCAACTGCATCCATTAGTGCCAGCCACTGTACATTTGATGCAGTTCATAAACCCATAGTCTACAATCAATATAGAATAGAGTCTGGGGAATTTATCTATCATGTGTTACTTTTCTCCTCCCGTCCCATGCTTTAGAACACTGGTCCTCAAACAAATGAAAATTTAAACTATGAGATTGTTGAAATAAATGAAATAAGTTTTCGTTTCAATATCAGCCTGCTAATATCAGCCTGCTACATAGTCACATAAAGGACAGTATAAAATGTAATGAATTTTGTGCTCCACCTCATTTAACTCACAATATGCATTCAGATTCTTTTATCTTTGGTCACACCACTGTGTCTTCCCGTTTTAAGTAATGGTAATATACCAAAACTTACATTCCTACCTCGGCAACCACATCCAAAATTATATAAAATATTGAAATCCAATCTTAAAGCTGCGGTAGGGAACTTTTATTAAGTAACTCCCATGGCATTTGCAAGAATCTACTTCTGCCTTTCCAGCAAATGCAATTAGGACGCTAAGACGAGCCAGAGGTGATATCTGTCTCATGTACTACTGTTAGGTCGTCCACTAATCAGAAGGTTGTTGGTTTGATCCCCGAACAAACTGCAGCCTCCAAAATGACCATAAAGTTGAATCACCACACAAAAAGTGAACATAATGACCTTGATGAAGGCAGGATTTGGTGTATTAGATTGCACTTGTTTTAGCCAGGTGGACCTAATAAACTGGCAACTGAGTGTATGTGCATTGAGATTGTGAATTACCTTCCTGGGATTCATTGACTAATAACACATGCCTATTTAAAAGAAAAAGCACCATTACTACTTGCATTACATTGTTGGTATAGTTCTAGCAAGCTGCTTTGATAGGCCAACACAACTGTTTAACATAACATGTCAATCAAGGCACTATTTATTCTCGTCTCGCAGGTTCTTATCGATCCTGGTGGAGCCTCCTGCCATGGTCCTGCTAGATTGCCATTGCCAATACTGTTGTTGCTGTGCACCTGTCTGTCTCTCTCTGTCTCTGTCTCTGTCTCTTTCTCTCTCTCTCTCTCTCTCTCTCTCTCTCTCTCTCTCTCTCTCTCTCTCTCTCTCTCTCTCACCCCAACTGGTCGAGACAGACGACCACCCACCTAGAGCCGAAGGATCTGTCCTAGGTTTCTGCCTTTTAACAGGCAGTTTTTCCTTGCCCTTGTCGCCAAGTGCTTGCTCATGGTGGTACTGTTGGGTCTCTGTAATTAATGTTAAAGAGTTCGGTCTAGACCTGCTCTATTTGAAAAGTGTCCTGAGTTAACTTCTGTTATGAATTGGTGCTATACAAATAGAATTGAATTGAATTGAATTTATAACCACTTGAAGGACACCTAACCGGAAGACAGCTTGTTTTATCACTCAGTTCCCCACCTATTGGCCCTGGAGGGAGGGGAGAAAATATAAATGTACTCCAAGAATACCTCAGATATTTTTATTACATTGCTTGATTTTGATTGATGCAGCTTTGGAGAATTGGTGGCAACATTTTCAGCTTTTTGCATCTCCCAGTCAGAGGGGTGAGTGGGGAGAAAGCAGAAAGCTAGGGCTTCTTATGGATATTACCAGGGTGGTCCCAGTCCTGGATCACATTTTATCTCCGCTGACAGGTGGAAGCAGAGACTGTACACTGGAGCAGCTGTATTGCTACATCCCTATAACCCTTTGTTGTCTACAGTGGAAATGACACTTTTTTTTTAGCTCTAGACATACTCTATCACTTTTTTACACTTCAGGTCTATTTTTTTATTTTATACGCACATTTAAAGATGCTCATAAAAGCCACATATTTGAACTATTTTTATTGCCGTGCATAAACCAGACAACGGAGAACATTGCTTCTCAAACTGCTGTCTTAATGAGTATGAATGAATTTACAGGTTTAACAGTTAGCTGCAATGTTGAAATGAAATGAAAGGCGACCCACACCTTCTGTAGATAAAAACTCATTCTAAGGTAACAAAAATACAATTCCTATATTTAGATGATTATACGCTAATGAAAACATACTTATGAATGTTTTTTTTACACCGTCCTGACATCAGAATTGCAGAACAATATTTGAAACTTTTGGAATATAAAAAAGACAATCCAACAATCACATCCACTATACAGAGCGGCCAGGTGTTCAGATGCATGAAAGCAGCCAGGGATCGAGAGAGAGAAAGACTATGGCCTTTAGATGAGGTTGGACACCATGTCATATGAACTTCATTAAGAACGGTGAAGTCAGTGAGTAAAGGCAGCACAGGTGTGACATCTGACACTGCCACACAGCCTGGTTGAATAAACAGTAATGGTGTTAAAGGACTTTGAAGCTGATGAGACCGGTTTCATTTACAACAACACTTTACAACAGAAGATCAGGTTCCCTCCCCTAGAGCCGGGGAGTGCAGACAACACAGCACTTAACGCACACACACTCACTAGTTATGAATGGGCATGTGTTAGCTAGACAAAGACTGATGGCACAGAGATATGGAAAGTGGCAACGTTTATTTTTTCCACATGATGCATCAAACAATGGCTGTGATTTCTATTATAAGAGAAGAAATCATAAAACAAGATTAAGTGTTGTTAGCCCTGCTAGCAGCTCTGCGAAGCTGTACATAGCTGTACTCTTGCTTTGAGCTAAATGCTGCTAATCAGCATTCTAACATGTTCACAACAACAATAACAATGCTATTTGACATGTTTACATGTTAGTTTAGTATGTTAGCATTCTAACATTTGCTCATCAACACTAAACACCAAGTACAGATAGGAATGTGTTTTGCAGGTATTTGGTCATAAACTGAAAAACTGGACAAACTGATAAACTGATAGAAACGGACGGCGCAAGATGAAAAGTTAAGCAAAGTTGTTACAATTCATCATTGAGGTGTGTACGAAATTTCTTGGCGGTCCGTTCAGTAATTCTTTAGACATTTTTACTGTGAACCCAAAAGGTTTAGCTAGAGGGAAAGTCAGGATCACCAACGGTATTAGGATACAGTCTGGTAAACATGAATGTCTCTAAAAAGAAATGTGTCAGTTCATCCAGTACATGTAGTAATATTTGACTGGATATTCGACTATATAGTTGACCTCATACAAATTACATGGTTGTAATTATATGCTATAATAGCTGTTCTTGCTGGTACCTTTACCTAGCATGACACAAAAATGGCAGTGTTGGTCAGTCTATCTCTTTGGACTGAAATATCTCAACAACTGTTGAAAAAATTGCCATTATTTTTGTATTTATGTAGAATTAAAACATGAGCTTAAATTGGTAAAGTATTTGTGGTACGAAAACATAAAGTACAGGCAGGTTGTTTGTAATTTTAGAACTCTAGAATACCTCCAAAGTCATTGGAAGATATAAAGGGCCAGATAGAAACCTCTGTAAATAGTTTGGGAGATGAGTATCACATTTAGTTTGAATGTAAGAAGTTAAGAATAATGAATTATAGAGAAAGATATCTGCCAAATTATTATTTAAACTATCCATCTATGTTTATATTGATTTTATCATTACAATCAGAAAAGCCTAATGTTATTTGTAAAATTGGCGCCTTTTTGAAGAATGTCCTTCCTTTGTGTAAGAAAGATGTCATATTTGTATATTCTGTTTGTGCTCCATACCATGTGATCGTGGTCATGAGTTACAAATAAATTAAATGAAAATATATTCATTGGATGGATTTTGATGACTTTTCATTTCATTTCATGACATAAATGGAAATGGAATATAATATTCATAAGTATGTTTTCATTACTGACATTAAGAATCGTTGTTTTTGTTACCTTAGAATGAGCTATTATTATCTACAGATCAACCACCATGTTTCTACAAACCAAACACTGGCTCTAGCTAGGGCCTTTCATTTTCTTCAAGAGTTTCACGGCCACTGTAGTTTCTCCTATACACTTTCCAGCCTGATCTCATTCCCAGGTTGTCAAACACAGATGCGAGCGGTGTTCAGTTAGTTGCAATTTGCAACTTTATACTGGTCCTTTAAGTTCCTGCAGTGGAAAAAGGAATATAAATTAAGTTGTGAAGAGTGAATGAGTTGGATACTATTGCAGCTCTATTTCATGACATAGGCTTAACTGATTTACTGTATATAAACTACCGTTGCTCGAAGAAGATTTATCTGGAGTAAATGTATGTAAACATATTCACTGGTACTGTTATTAAAAGGATGTGAGAATTGCTTGTCATTTGATCCCGTCTGCTGTCTGCAGATGGTTTGCCACAGACTGTTGTGTCCTCCCAGTGCTGCCAGCAAAGCAGGGGTGTTGGGTTCCAGCTCAGATAGAAGAGAAAAATGGTCTCCGTCAAACAGGATTAGCATGCTATCCGTCAGTGAGGAGCTTACAGTCTAACAGGGTAACAGTGCTATGCTAGTAAGCTAATAGCTCATATCATTGCTGTTTGGTTTCTCCTGGCCCCTCACTCCAGCATACCTGAGCGAACTTAGGCAGGTATCCCAGTAACTGTTCATAAAGAGCCATCAGGACTGCTGGGCAGGCTGCTAGTAATTAGTGAAATGGCCCCAGGTATACAGATACAGGGGCTTCCTCCTCTGACTGGCTTTGTTTGCTCCGCTTGTTTTTCATCAGTGTTTTAATGGTGTTGACCTCTCCCCTCAGGCTTCAGCTCAGGGTATTGCTTTCACTGTGCTGCTTAAGCACCATCATATTTTCCACCCCTGTCCACTTTGCATCTCATCCCACCAAGTGATGGTAATAAGAACTGATCACTATTCACAGTGTCAGTATTAATGGTGATTATCCAGAATTAACATTTCAGATAACAGATACATCTGTCAATAATATCTTGTTTTGTGTTTCTTAAAGAATGATATGAACTTCTTTAATAAATACATATAACTCAAAAGCAAGGAATCTGTGTCTGTCTGTATGTCTGACCATCACATGATTCAACAACCATTCATCCGATTGACTTCACACTTGGCGGGTTTAACGCCCAATGAAGTGCAGTGTCTATTTTGAAGCAGTTCTGTTGCACTATAATAACTAGGGTTGGGTACAGAACTCTGAGTACTGATTCACATTAAATCAATTGGTGCCAGATTTCCCTACCTGAGAGTGCATATGGATGAGAGAGTAGAGTACAGAGAAAAAGAGAGAGAGCTAGACTAACGTGGGGTCACCCCTGCAGCTTGTTCCATTCACAGTGATTTAGGGCATGCAGGCTGTGTAATGCAAAACGCAAAGCTGGTCAGGGCAGCATGTCTAACTTGAGGATACATCTGGTCAGACACAAAATATATCTCCAAGCTGAAGAATGTAGTGTTACTGTGTTTGATAGCCTGAAAGTCCCCCACAAGCAGCTAACATTAGCACGCCTGTATCTTAATTCAGTCAGTCAGGCATCGACAACTTCAGCAACATCTTCAGGAACTAGGTAGTTGGATAAGTTGTTGCTGGAGGTAACAGGGTGTTTTTCACTCTTGGTTGACATTAGCTGACAGTTTTACTAGTCACAGTAAGCCACAGGGCTGTCAACTCGCTTTTGTTATTACAGAGTAAAGTACCATTGATTACTGGTACTGAATTCCAAGTACCGGTATCAAATTCAAATTGAATGATACCCAACCCTAATATCAATTAACTTTACGTTTGGTCTGTAACTCTTGAACGCCTTTTTGTGTCTATATCAGTTTTCTTTTTGATATTCCATGTACTGTAGTTCTGTTATAGCTAGCCCTCAAAGTTTGCTCAAATGCTGTCATATCTGTCATATCTCCTAAACACTGTGCTATTGCAATGACATTTGGTGGACATACACTGAACAAAATTATAAACGCAACACTTTTGTTTTTGCCCCCATTCATCACGAGCTGAACTCAAAGATCTAAGACTTTCTCTATGTACACAAAAGGCCTATTTCTCTCAAATAGTATTCACAAATCTGTCAAAATGTTTGTTAGTGAGCACTTCTCCTTTGCCGAGATAATCCATCCACCTCACAGGTGTGGCATATCAAGATGCTGATCAGACAGCATGGGTATTGCACAGGTGTGCCTTAGGCTGGCCACAATAAAAGGCCACTCGAAAATGTGCAGTTTCACTGTATTAGGGGAGTCCGGGGGGGGGGGTCCGGAAACCAGTCAGTATCTGGTGTGACCACCATTTGCCTCACGCATTTCAACACATCTCCTTCGCATAGAGTTGATCAGGTTGTTGATTGTGGCCTGTGGAATGTTGGTCCACTCCTCTTCAATGGCTGTGCGAAGTTGCTGGATATTGGCAGGACCTGGAACATGCTGTCGTATACGTCAATCCACAGCATCCCAAACATGGGATTCATCCGTGAAGAAAACACCTCTCCAAAGTGCCAGAAGCCATCGAGTGTGAGAATTTGCAAGTCGGTTACGACGACGAACTGCGGTCAGGTTGAGACCCCGATGAGGACGACAAGCATGCAGATGAGCTTCCCTGAGGCGGTTCCTGACAGTTTGTGCAGAAATTCTTTGGTTATGCAAACCGATTGTTGCAGCAGCTGTCCGGGTGGCTGGTCTCAGACGATCTTGGAGGTGAAGATGCTGGATGTGGAGGTCCTGGGCTGGTGTGGTTACACGTGGTCTGCGGTTGTGAGGCCGGCTGGATGTACTGCCAAATTCTCTGAAACGCCTTTGGAGACGGCTTATGGTAGAGAAATGAACATTTAATTCACAGGAAACAGCTCTGGTGGACATTCCTGCAGTCAGCATGCCAATTACACGCCCCCTCAAAACTTTAAAAAAATTAGGTTAATAGGTCGTTCTGTAGCAGCTATACTACAAAGGAAGGAAATTAAATCAAATTAGTAAGGAAACCAAAAAAAGTACTGGAATCTGATTAGCTCGACAAGCCTACATACTTGTTCACCATTAGTACACTATTATTCAGCTATTATTTTATTAATTATTTATTTGGCTTATTTTAACTCTAACGCAATATGGTGTTGTGTTGCATGAACAGTGGTAAACCTATTTGATTATATCAGTGGTTCTTAACCTTTTTCTGGTGTGCCCTCCTTCAGAAGCCGAAAAACAATCATGCCCCATCACCCCACAACTTTTTATTATGTTGTTTGTTTTCCCTACATTAATCTCTTTACTTTAACTTAGTTTTAATCCATTTTTTTCCCCTGGTCATCCATGGCTTTCTGCAGAAGCTCTGTGCTCCACAGTTTGAGGACTGCTTTGTATGATTGCATTTTTGTGTATTTGTGTTGTATTTGTGATTTGATTGTGTTTGCTTTTTGTTCAGTGTGAGGGTCTCACTGACCACACTGTTTAAAATCGTCACTCTTTGTGTCTCAGCGTAGTACGGATGGCTTCTGGAAGTCGGTGGCCAGGAACGTTCCAAGGGGGCCCAGTGACATGCGCATCCTGAACCCCTACTTCATTCAGACGGCCTCTTTCAAGCTGATCGGCTTACCTCACAACAACGGACAGATGGGCAGAGGGGTGAGGACCTGTTGTTTTCCTGTCAGTTTGTTCTCAGTTTGTGGTAGAGAAGTAGCAGGAACAGTGAGCTGGCTCACACACAGTGGTGAGTTAATGGTCAGGAGGTCTGGTAGCGGACTCCACTGTGTGCCTGTTTGCATTATGAAGGCCTCTGTGGACACACAGCAGATGCCACAGAGAGCAGAGTCTGAAAACAAACAGCGTTACCATTAGGCTATTATTAATAGAACCATGCTTCAGATTTCACATCTGTAAGATATCCACACAGTACCCATACAGTGTAAATCTGGATCCTCTGCTGTACATTCACATGCACACACTGTACATGCTCTGGGGTACGGGTCATGGCTCGGTTACCTGTTTCACACACACTTTTTATTTGTGCCTGTTTACAGAATATCCCAACGCTGGGGGCAGTTGCCATAACGATGGCCCTTTATAACTGTGATGAAGTAGCTGTGGCTGGATTTGGCTACAACATGAGCACCCCCCGTGCCCCTCTGCACTACTATGAGAAGATCAGGATGTCAGCCATGAAAGAGGTAAGATTTGGTAAGATGCCCTAATAGACAGAATCACCGTGATATTGAATTGCTAACAAAAACAGTCACTCCATGGTAGACAACTGGCAGGGTTGGGAGGGGTACTTTAAAAATGTAAAAGCTTGACTCTGTGTCTGGCTTTCAGTCTATGCTGCAAAATAGTGATAACAAGAAGCTTTCTTTGGTTTGTGTCTGAGACAGAGAGACAGTGGTGGTTGAGACAGAGGAGAGAGGATAGGAGAGGGAGTGCCATCAGTGAGAAAGCTGGTGAATCAGAGAAATAAAACATTATTTTCTGAGCACAGATAAGCACCGCTGCAACTTCTGATTTGGTCTGAATGGTGTCATGCTGTCATTTTCTTTAGTCTGTGGCACACCTCTGTGTCAGTGAAAGTGTTGTTATCAATGGGATATGAAAGTATAAAACATGCCTTTTCAATGAATTAGATGTATACACTACGTAAGGATTTTCTACCCGGAAGTTATTGATAGCAAACAATGTGATTGGTTCTATTGGTCCTAAAACTGATACGAGACATTGCTGGGCTTTCTGAAGTTCCATTTTCAGTAATGTTATTCCATTGGTTCAGTATCTGTGTAAATGGGCACTAAGAACAGTTTATCTAAATTCAGTTCCAAACAGAGGGCCAACATGTTACATGTTGCCTTACCTAATCTGTGACCTCAGCACGGTATGGCGTAACCGCAGTCAGTAATGTGCATTTTGACAGCTCGTCTCCTTTTGTCCTCTTGTGACACATTCATTATGCACATCAGCTGCAGTGTCATTATGTTGTATGTTACCTTACGTACAAAGTAAGGAGAATTCAAATTTCATTTTGGCTTATGTGTATTGGCTGGTTGGCTTTTTTGGCTAAACTTCTGAGTCAGTCTGACCTTACTAACGTTGCATGGTAAATTTACAGTTCACATTAATGATTCATCTCCTGCATTCACAGGTGTGTCACCCACTATTTCCTGCCCCTTTTACTCTTAATAGACGAGACTCCCACACAATATTCACAACCTCCAAATTTGTTAGCATTCTGACCAACCTGTCGACCAACATCCTTCTTGTTAGTTTTCCAGGTTTACGCTGCACTGGAACAGTTTACTGTGACCTTTCCCTCATTTAAAATGCCTCTCGGGAACCTATGAGGAATTTACCCAGCATGCTGAGTACTGGCCCTGGATGTGTATGAAATCTCAAGTGTAGGAACGTTGCTGGGTTCTGGTTTTGAGAGCAGCGCAGTCATAGCACACTACATACAATGTCTAAGTTGCCAATTACTCCACTTCACAGTCCCCAGCCTGATAAATCACTCTTAGCTCAGGTTATTGAGACGGACATGCAATCCCCTTCATCCTATTTTCACCAACAGCACAACAGACTTGTGTTTCAGAGGCACAGAGCTGTTGGCTCCGCCCGCTGCCACGTGTAACTGAGACAGGCGAGAAATTTGTTTCTACAGTTCTCCATTGGTTCACTGGACAGCCACAATTTGAATTATAACTTAAATGACTGACGCCATTTATGCTTGTTAATGTGTCAGACTTTTTAATCTCATGAGTAATATAATATCTTAATAAATGTTTGTTAAATTTGTCAAAAAGGGGTATAATACTTTTGCAGCTGTTGTGCATAAAGAGAAAAAAACATCAGGATTCATGGCGATAGTCCAACATTTAGGGAAATTTGAGTATTTGCTTCCTTGCCAAAAGTTACAATAGATGAGAAGATCAATATCACTCTCATGTCTGTGCACCAAGTGTGGAGTTAGAGCCACAAGGTGATAAGCTTATCTTAGCTTAGCAGAAAGAGGAGAGGGAAGAGAAACATCCCGTCCCAACGCATTCCATCCCTATTGTCCAGACAAGAGGAAAAGATGCTGTCTGTCTTTCTCTCTTTATTCTACTGCCATCCTTTGTTTCTCTACCACACTTTCAGTTTTTCTCTCTTTCTGTTTCTCTCTCTCCTACCTTCTCCACTTAGTTTCAAACAAGAACCGGCTGATGATCCAAACTAGTGCTACCCACGACCAGATTTTCCTAGTTCAAGCCATTAGTCGACTAGTTTATAATATTATTTATTATTATGTATATTTTATTATTGACATACATTTTTGGTGCATCAGAAAATTGGACCATGGATTCAAATCTGACCTATAGCCCTTTGCTGCATGGCATCCCCTGCTGATGGTCTGCACTTTTTCACTCTCTCAAGCTGTCCTGTCTAATGAAGAGAAAAAAAACCCCCAAAAATATGTACAACTATGAAAAATAAAACATTGTATAAGTAACATTGTTAACAATTATACATTACAGAGAAATACAAAACTGTAATAATGAGACAGGAAAAAAAAGAATGCCATTGCCAATGAGACGAGTTTTGGCAGCCAAGCATATGATTGCAAGTGACATTGATTGGCCAATATCAATACCCCTTCCAAATGGATTTTGAATTAAACCCGAACAAGCGCACTTCATCAATAGTTTTGTTTTAAAGGAGGAAGTTACTTCGATAAAAAATTTAAATATAAAAATATATTGCTGGACTCGGTCAAGTCCGAGTGCAAATACCATCGAGTCCAAGAAAAGAAAAAACGTCTAGTACTCCAGTACAACAGCACAGGAAAACATAACTATGAATATTAAATTCAGTTTTTGCCAATTGATCGTCCTAAATGTTACACACTGGACATTTTAATATACATTTTTGAACTATTGTTGAAAATGTATTGGATTTTTTTATGAAATGTTGATCTAAAGGGGAAGAATCTACACCTACCTCCTGACCTGTGTGTCTCTGTCCCCTCTGCAGTCCTGGACTCACAACATATCTAAAGAGAAGGAGTTCCTGGTGAAGCTGGTGAAGGCTGGAGTTATCCAGGACTGGACCAATGGGATCTGTGGTGCAGGATGCTGATGGTCTGTACTCAGTTTCATGGATCCTGAATGAAGCACTGTGCTCACCGGGGAAACTCAAGGCACTGTAGGCCATGTTCCCAGCAGAGAGCAGCAGCTGTCACACACAGTGGTCAGTACAGAGACTTTGAGTATATGAGGCTTATTGACCCGGGCACATGGCCCCAGTGTTGCATACTGACATATTCCAAGTATTGGCCTCTGGTTTGTATCGCAGTATTTAGTTCATCCTAGTTGCAGGTTAGTGTATATTTACATTGATTTGGTATCCTGGCTCACGGGTACGTCAGCAGTGCTGGTGATCAAACCTGCACCTAGACGAGGCCACACTCCAACTAGAACTGCTGCAAGCTGGAGACAGGAGAAGAGGATGAAGTGGTTGGGTTTAAATATTGAGCCTGTGCCAAGAGTACCTCTACAAGTGTCCTTCTGCTCACACATCTGAATGTAATCTACATCAAACCTATAGTCACTTATTGGTATTTTCCAGCTTCTGTGTTAAACAGGGTGCACACCACATGACACATTACTCAGCCGTCCTGGACCAGTCTCTGGCATCTGAGAGTAAACCCTCATATTAGAGCAACCTGGCAATAATCACAGCTAGTTTAGTTTGAGACAGTATGAATGAACGCAAATAAGAGATTTCCTTCAGCAGCAGCATGACTGTGATGCAGGGGAGTAACATTATGTTTGTCCTTGTGCAGCAGTCTTACCTCCAATGCCTGCTGGATGTGGCCAAGTCACATTTCGCTTCTAGTCAGCCGGACCACCACTGAATGTGAATGTATATAAATGTCTATATTTATTGACAACTAACTAATACTTAATGAAGCATTTAATTTGTTACTGACTCTGTGTTATG